GATAAACCGGGGAAATTGAACGGATAACACACTAGTATCAACTTTTGGCCGGAAATTTAGCCACGCAACTTCAGTGCATGCGCCATACTTTATTCATGAGATCAAAGGTCGAAGACAAGACAAAGATGTTGCAATCAGCAGGAACAATCGAGCCAGTCCGATACAGTGAGCAGGGAGTACCAATAATTCCGGTATTGAAGCCGGATGGTTTTATGAGTATTTGTAGAGACTAGAAACTAATTGTTGATCGTGTATGAAGAAATTCGTCACATCCAGACTCACTCCGACAGACACTACATACCCGGAAATGCACGGTACCCGCGTTTCGTCCTTTCTGGAATCGTAAGCAGTGTGCATTCCATCGGAACTTATTAGGGTTCGAACCCGTAACTCGATTTTGCCTGTCCGTGGTTGAGACCATTAAGCTACGGAAGACGGCAACGATCATCGTGAATAAATTACTAGATGTGGGTGGCTATTCTGTCCTCTGCACGGTAGTAAGGTGCAAGCGCGTGGATTATGAGCGCCGCTATATCACATCTAGTAACTTGTTTACAATGGTCGTCGCCGTCCCCCGTAGCTCAGTGGTATAAATCACGGACTGAAAACAGACGAGTTTCGGTCTCGAGCCTTACCAGCTTCCGATGGAATGCACGCTGCTGACGATTCCCAAAGTGAGGAAACGCGCGTGCAGTTCTTTTCCGGTCGTGTGACAGCTGTGTGATTTAGTCAAGTTGTGAGGAATTTAGGCCTAAACCATTCAACTCCACCTACTACTCCTCTCTAATTGTTAATAGTTGTTTATTTTTGGAAAATATCCCCTACCTCGGATAGAGGAATTACATGTTACGCTGGAAGGTTTACAAATGTTTACACATATCAAATTCAGTCACCCGTACTTGCTAATTAAGTGAGACGAGACCTCTCGCTCATGCCTTATGATAGGTACCCACGTGGGTATTCGCATATACAAACCACTGCCTTTTGAAATCAACTGAGACCCAGAGACACTCCATTGGATTGCGGACAACCTGATCAAAAAGATATTCCATTCACTTGCGCCTATCTTCGCGACATTCTATTTGCAACACGTGCAATTACCAAATAATTACAAACGCGATCCACTCTCTTTGAACGTATGTAACTGATTGAACTCAAACTGAAGATCTCCTAATGTATGAATTTTCAGATTCTTTTGTAACCTGGGTTACCGCCTTGATTAGAACAGAGTACACGTGTTATAAGAGAAATTCATGCTCATGCTTGTCGCAACTGAACCCAAGAATAAAGCTGAACTCTGTTTACATTGGGGATGTTTTCTCACTATCGTCAGTTCTCACCTAACTTCTCAACGGTATTCACAACCTTGTACCAACAGTTAAACAAGTAGAGGTCCTGAACTTGTGGTCCGGATAGAAGAAGGGCCTTCACAGATGCATAGAGTGTTTAGCGCCTCTCGCATCTTGTGTATTTCGATCCAAGGAGCCAATTCTGCTGCTGTGTAATGCTACTTCACGCGAAATAAGCGCAGCCTTTAGCCACCGGACAGACGACAGTTCTTCTCGTCCGATCACTATTGTTTCTCCCACCCTGCAATTCGCTGAATGGATGTTCTCTCAACTGGACACAAAGGCCTTGGCGATTATTTCCAAAGTCAAGCATTTCTTCCAGTAGTCTGAGATGACAGTTCGATATCTTCATTGACCACAAACCACCACTAGTTTGCTTCTGTGTGGGAAGAAAGATATTCAACAGATATCCTAGCTTTGAATGTAAAGGTGGGCACCACTTTCGTACGCCTATAAATAAAACGTTAGTTAGTAAACGGACCAAGTAATTGCATTGCCGATGCACTTAGTCGCAACCCGTAGCAGCATGGCATAAAAACGAACAGTGAACCCATGGACCTTATCAATCGGATGCAACATCTTGAAAAGCCACTCGACCTGAGTGAATTCGTGCGGCGCCTGACGGACTGGGATCCTGTGTTGTCGATGTTGGAATGGTTCTCAATGGTCGGATGGCCTACATGCACGTCAGACGAACTGAAACCATTCGCCTGGGTGTGCAATGAATTGAGTCCATACAATGGCTGTACATTTCGAGGCTCACGCATATTTCCATTAGACGAATTACGGCCCCAGTTGCTGAGAGAGCTGCACTATGCACATCCTGAAGTAAACATGAGGAACACGCTGGCACATGGTTACCATTGGGGGCCGAACATTAATCACGATATAGAGCGGCTGCTGCAAATTATGAGCAATTTCGAATAGACGAACTTCGAAATTCTCGTGGACCGCTCCGTCCATGGTGTTTTTCGGAGCGATCCTGGCAGCTGGTACACGCGGATTACTTTGGCACAACCAATGGGACGGTGTGTCTACTTTTGATTTATGCCCATTCTAAATTGATAGAAGTACAACCAGTTCCGCATGCGACTTCCGCAGCAACAGTTGGAAAAATGTGCTACCTATTCACCATTTTCGGTATCATATTGACGTTATGCACCCAAAATGGAACACAATTTACCGGTGAAGCATTTCAGCAAGACCTGAGTAACAACGGAATACGGCATATTAGGTCTGCGCCATACCATCCCGCGTCGAATGGAATGACAGAACATGCAGTGCTGACTGCTATCCAAGATTTCCTCAAGCAGATTAATGGAACTCTACAAACTACGTTGGATCAGCTGTTCTCTAACTTCACGACACCGACTGAGTAGAAGTAATGTTTGGCCGAGCACTACGAACGAGTCTGCATTACATTTTTTCGACCCCTCGAAGCAGCATGGAGTCAGTGTAGCGAAGATATGTGGGAATGACAAGATGCCAGGGGGAATGTGGCTCAATGATTTTGATTCGCTATAAGCAAGACTGCCTCACGGAAGCAAGCCGAAAAGCTGCTACACTTAGGTCCTCAACCATCAGCCAAGCAGAGCTACAGCTAAAGGACGACCTTGTGGTGCGCCGCCATTTTGACTATACCCAGTTAAGCTCAAACAAACCACATGAGCTGGATCAACAATCGGCCGCGCTGAGGTAAAATTTGATGGGGAATCTGTCGTACAAAACCAGGAACCGCAAACATAAGTGAACAACCCCAATTAAGGCGCTCAACCGGCACGCCTATGCCAGTTGCTGGGTATCAACACTGAACCTGCAGTCCTTACGAGGGAAGAGAACATCAGAGAATATCGGCGCTCAGACGAATGGTTGACAATGACCTTGGATTACCTTCCTTATTTCACTGGCTTTTTGTTTCGGCATTTCTAACCCAATTAACGGTTAACGGGTTTAATTAAACGTTTCCATACTAAGCGTGCACGTTCTGTTCCGTCTACTAGCTAAGGGTCGTACCTAACACTTGCATTTTCAGGTGTTTAGGGGTAGACAACGAGATTTAAATCACTAAAACATCAATGCGAATCCACTTCATCTGTGAAAACAACCAGTTCTGGGCGAATGCGTTTCAAAATTTGGTCGGATTAACCACATAATCCTTATGCATCCTATCGAGGTATAACCCTTTCTTTTCTTTTTCTGGACGTTTAATTCGCTTTTTCACATGCATACTGTAGTGGTAAATAATTATTCTTGTCGGAAGGGACCAGCCCAGGTGACATACAACTGGTGGATGAAACCGACACAAACTTTCAGAAATGACTCACATATCTAGAACTCGAGCAGTCATCTATTATCGACACTACTGTTATAGCAGTTGTTCGAAAATGAACCTAAAATTATTGCGCAGTTGCAAAATATCTTATTTTCTTATTAGTGACCATTACTATTACTACCTTTCTACCTCCACATTTGTTTTATTATTTAATATTTAGATTTTGGGCACGACAGGGTCCAACTTCCAACGCTAATAACTGTACCCATGAAAAACGCATTTCCATTGACTCTTGGGCCTGAACAATGCTTGACTTGAACGCATTATAGATGGTGCGGACTAGACTGCTAGTATACACACTACCTACAAACCAAAACAGATGGATTAACTAGGTGAGATGAGTTAGATTTATGTCAAAACTGCTTTAAATGCTATAACGTCACGCGACCGAATCGGGCATGGAAATGAGGGTGTAACGTATCTTGTGATGCCCAACGTCGAAGCAGGTTCCCAGGAGACAATTCCATCGATCGTTGAAATGCTTCAGTTACACATTTGGATTTTTCCATATGTAAAATTTGGACAACCAATCAAATATCTGAAAGAATCTCGATCAATTAGTACCGCTCACAACAGAAATAATTTAAGCATTACTCCGAAAATTTCGAACAAACAACTGTTCCATGCGATTCCTCTGTTCATATTGATCATACCATTAGAATTGAATAGTGCCTTGCGTTGTTCAAAAATGCACGGTTACCGTTGAATTTCTTTTCCACGCCATTTCATTTTATTTTCTGTATAGCAGGATAGTATCGATGTATGCATGCTCCGTGCCTAATATGGACGCAACTTCTCAATTGATGGGAAATGTACCGATTACGATTAGTATTATTATCATTCAAATTCGGTACAGCTAGTCGCAAAATTAAGGAGGGGGATGTGAACACACCCACTGCTGTTAAACGGCTCATCTGCTGTAGATTGCAGGTCAGACTGGTACAGCTACATATACTTTGTAGGTGGAGTGTAATTTACAAGCTATTGCCTTTCCCGGATTGAACGCAGAGCATGGATTTGAGCCGTTCGCGATCATTATTATCTATGCCGGCCTACCATTAAAACTGGAGTTGTATTTCGTACGGTGGTGCTAGTTCAACTTAGCATGCTGAACTTGCGTAAACATCAGAATGAAAACGGTTGGTCTGGTGTGACTATAGTTTTACGCCCATTGGCTCCGTCTACTCTAAACGTACAAACAACTCTCTTGCTTAGATCACACCACCTGTCGTTGTGTTTGTCTACCTAAAGGTTTGTCGGATGGGGTGGCAACCCTGGTCCAAAAGAATCAATTCATGCAGTAGACAGTAAAATTTGCAATGTATTTTGTTGTCGTTGGTTCGTCTCATACCTCAAATGAGTTGGATGGTATGAAGATAAACAAACCCTGGCCTGTAAATAAATACGCTCTTCCGCCCGGGACGATAGCATATTATTTGTGGCCATCGAAAATAATGGTCTCCTGGGCACTTATTTTCACGCTGGTGCTGCTTCACCTGACCCAACTGAGGGGGAAGAAATACTACAATGATTGCTGTGAGTCCAAAAACATTAAGATTTTCTTACTTGGTTTTCATTTTTCCATGTATGATTTGATTAACGAGAATTTCTGCTCTGTTGATAAGCTAAACCGTCGTACAGGTTGCATTTATGCTTAGAGCTTTTGACCTGTAAAACAAAGTAAGAAGGATAAATCTGACTTTCCGATGGTTGAAAAGTATCTGAATTCGCTTATCTCTATATGCTGACGACCTCTTTAATAAACCACGTTGGTCCAGTCACCTGATTGGTCAAATATAAGAGGTTATAACCCTTTTGAGCATGAAATTTACTGATAATAAATGTTGTTATTTTAACAATTGTTTATTTATATTGGGGTATAAGAACGCGATCAAATTACAAACTCAGCTTTTGCGATAATTAAGTCACCAGCTCAATTGCTACCACTGCAGTGGACTGCTTGCATCAGAGGTGGGAACATTGACGTTTTAGTATAGAAGTTAGCAAAGTAATCTGGGTATAGGGGGTCATTGCAATTTACAAACAAATATTTTACTTTTGCAGTGTGAATCATGGCATCTTTTCGTATAGTTAATATTTGCCAGCTATAGCCAGCTAATGCCTTCATAAAGTCTTTATTCTGGTGCACGTTTTGAGAATGCAGTTCATCTATCCACAATAGCTGAATTTGAGCTCTGTCCTCCTACTGTCTGATCGCGTGTGTGGAAATTTATTTGGGCTCTGGCAGTTGAAGCCTTGAAATGCAGTAGGATTAAATTACTGCCAGCTTTCCTGTTCACAAACCACGCGATCATAACTATAACATTCATAGAACGGAAGAACACTCGGAGATGTCAGCGCGTATTGCGACGCCGGTTTGGGTAGTGCTGCACACTGAGCTATAAGGTCCACACCACTCATATGATTAGTATACTATGTTATCCAAATGGGTCGAGGTAGAGTGATTGCTTTCTGTTCCTTCCTGCACTGTCGCTGTGCAAGATCTTGGAGATGAAGTCCGGCACATGTTTATGAATAGAAAGACTATCAACCCAATGCGGATACCTTAGGTTGTTCCTAATTGTAACCGACATGAATGTGTCCATGCCCTTCTTTTGCATCTGCTTTTCTTTTGACATACGTTATGGAGCTTCACGCACTCTGTTAGCACGACATGTTCCACTTCAAGCAATCCCATATTTTTTAGTTCTTCGAACAAGGTGAGGCTTTAAAAACGATAATCAAACACACCTTGTAACCATTATGTTTAATATCTTCGCAGAGACGAAGAACAACATCAGAACAGGCTCCTAAGACACTGACACACTCGCTTCCACTACTCGCTCCTTGTTACACTTCAAATTGGAAAACACAACCAGAACGACCAGCTCAAACCCACACATTGAGCCTCATGGTTTAGGCATCTTTAGGCGAATATTGCCTTAGCAATGTTTCGCATTTGCATAGGAATATCTGTTCATCAATTGGTTAAACTTCTTCTGGTCCAACAGCATCAAAATTGAACTTTGTAAGTTATCAATTACAGGCCTAAACTTGTAAAGCCTATCTGTATTGTTTGGGTTTTGTGCCACATTGTCTGCAAAGTGCAAAATCCTCCAATTCATTTCAAATCGATTCACTGGCATTACATTTGTGACAAGCTTCATCTTCAGACCATCTGAGGACCGAAATTATTTTATTATCTTGTATCTGACGTATGACATCACCATAATTGTTACTAGGACCGTTCTTAGCTTGGCCAATGTCAGACACAATTGCTCCATCCCACATTGTGTAGCACACGAAGTCGGTTAGCGCAAAATGAGTTCTTGCAATTCTTCATGCAACAACGTAAGAACATAGTCAACAGGGATTTCACAGCGCACATTTAGTGTAACTTCACAGTTGAACGGTGGAAGAGATCTATCAATATGAACTCATTATTGAAACACGTTTATTATGCTTTGGTTTGTTTAGAGGCATAACTTGCAGTTTTGTACCAGTACATATTTCATCAAATCAACTGCATCCTCTGAACTGGAGTGTGCTTCTACAATAAGAGCTTTCCGTGGTATTCCAGAGGTAAGACAGTTTTCTTCATCCCCGTCATTGTTTTCAGCAAAAGAACAGTCAGAATCCAATGGCATATATATTATGTTGGAAAATGAAATAAATAACAACTAATTATAAACTATCTTATAATAAATCACTGTTACAGCTAATTATGGATAATTAAATGTAGATGCTAAAATTTCGCAATTGTTATCTATATCGGAAAATGTGTGCACATAATAGGTGGGTGTTGAATTCTATGACCTTACTGCATGAAGAACGAATACAGTGAATATGTTTGCAACAACGTAGATAAACAGCCTCAAAAGAATAATTATGGTTCATGTAACGTTACACACTATAGGTTACTTAAATATAATTAATTACCGCGTTGCTGCTTTTCTGTAAAATGTTTTTGTGGATACAGTACATTTACGTGAATCATGTGCACCAGGTATCGACTCGTTCGCTATCTTGAATATACAGTAGAAATAACGATACATTTTACTGCACCGGCAAATGTGACATCAAACAGCGAATGTCTCTGCAGTGAATAACATGCAGTGGAGGTCATGGAAAACGTCTATGTAGCGGTGGAACGAGCCAACGACAGACGTCCACTACACGGATCTCTATGTGGCAAAGGGTTAGAGTAATTGCTTTGAACTTAACACTTGTGTCTGTCTAGTTTCCATGTGTTCACTTGTGACCTCCGTTGCTGTGTAAATTATCTCTACTTATCAGCTCCGGATAAAACTCTAATCAGTGCTGCCGTATCGGGATGCGGAGAAGATGAGTGCGATTTGGACGGTGGTGATCGCATCGCGATATCGATTGTTTTCAAGCCAAGTGAGAATACGAACACTGATTGATACTACATGCACCATGGGAGAGAGGCTTTGCATTCTTTGTGTTATTATGTGGCAATAGCCACATCCTAAACTTATGGATTTGTTTTGTGGTTGTTTTCTGTGATCGTTAATGGGACACTGGGTAAACATAGCATGTGAAACATGCTTGGAACTGCAGTGTATCCCCACATACTGTTTCACTTGTTCTGATAGACGTGCACCCCAGTCTTTCAGCCGTTCAATTACCCGTTTCATAGAATTGCTGTCTTGCACAGACTAATTTTTTCTATCCAGAACTAGCGGTCCATTCAGGTAGAGCCAAACTTTGCGGAATGAATACAAAGCCAATTATGTATGAAAAAAGAGTCGCAGCGATACCAGATATATGTGAATATATCAAACCCAATTGCCCAATGGAACCTGGTCGCGTTTATACGGATGAACATATCCTACGTACGGCGAACGTTTCGGTGAGACTATCCTTCACTCAAGTCACCTGTGATCACCTCTATAACCAGTGCTACATGCGTCTGATTTAGCGGAACATGGTACTTTTGTTGTGCACTTAAACTAAATTGACTCATTCTTGTTATTTTCAGATCAGAGCTGAAACGCACTACAAACTTTACGATGAAAAGTGCAACGTAATTACCTGCGTGGAATTCTTTTCCGAATTGCGCTCAACCAATACCAACATATCTGTAGTAACTACGGTGGACGACTCTGTGCCTTGCAAAAATTGAAACAATACATTGACTAACACAATTGCTTTTTAACTTTAATAACTCACCGTTGTATGTGTTCGTTCCAAATTGTTGGAGTGAAATTGTGAATTTGTAATGGACTGATAAGAAAACAAAACATATTGTGATCATTACATTTGATTTTATTATTCTAGTTTGAATGGATATTACATGCGCAGGCGTCTAAATTTTTTCCGCAAACAGGTATGATCAATGTAAATGTTAATAGATACCACCTGCAAGAAATTAAGTTTGAAATAACGTGCGACAGTGACAGCACTTATGAATGTTATTATTCTCACAGTTATGATTAACATGCAGCAAACGAACACTAATAAACACATTAACTTGGTGGCTAAATTATTCAAGGAATATGCCCATGGATGCGTAGGCAACAGATTCAGCGAAGAAATGTAATTTCCTTGATGATCATCAGCTTGCCACATATATAAAACTAGTAAAGTACTGCGACATTCTGAGAAGTGTAGCCTAGATTTCTTATAGTCTAAATAGTCAGTTATTCTGTAGATTCGACTCTCCAAATGAACCTGATGGTCGCGCAAACGCTCACACACATACACACACAAGCTCACCATAAAAACATAGGATCATTAATCCGTGGGAGTGTGGAATCAAAATAACTCTCCGCCCGTGATCGAAATGAACGGGAAATGAAACCATTGCAAAAGTGTTATCTGGCAATAGATTAGCCCGAACAACATGGAATCCGGCCATTTTCAATGGGGGCTGTATGTGGAAATGCGTAGCGTTTTAGCATACTGTGGAAAGTTTTAAAAACTTTTCTTGTCACAACTTGATCCTGTATAGCAATGAGGGTTAAAAAATAAAGCTGTCAGGCATATAGCTTTTCATTTCCACAATGCTGCTGGGTAATGTTCTGAAATCCGCTTCACCATACGTCTTGTCTTGAGTCTGAGGTCTCTTACTCTACACGTACAAGCGGATTGACATGAGATATGGAAATCGGACTGCGCCGGAAGTCTGTCCTTAAGATGCTAGGTAATAAACGACAAACGGGTACGCAGCAGGGATTAAACTGGCTACTTCATTTGAAAGTCTTCTCTTTAGTAACTTGACCAGAAGGCACATTAGAACAATGAACAATGAACAACGATTTATCACGGGATAAAAGCAAGTGCTTGACACGTCCCGTAGGATGGTTGAGGTGAATATGATGAAACCAAAATATATCTGGGTCATCTATCGAACGTCTGCCAAGATGAATAGTTTGATAAGTAACATCAGTGTAAAATTAAAATAAATTATCGAGCGTAAACGTTCAGAAAGACACTGGGGTGCAGTGATCATTGAGGTAAGGAGTGAGAAAAGTAAAATATGGTCGCTCACTTAGGTCCATTTGCTACATAAATCCTGTTGAAAATATGCTTGGCGTAATCCAAAATAGAGGAGTTTAAGTAACAAAATGTTGGGAGCTAAGAGTAACATCTAATCGTTTTTTGAAAACATCCAAGGTAGGTGAGGATACAACTGAGTCTGGGAGTGCATTCCAATGTTTGCAAACCCGAAGGGAAAAGTAATTACGTCGACACTCTAGACGGCTGTATTGTTCCTTCAACTTTAGGCAGTTACCCCTGAGCTGCGTGTTGTGGCTAAGTTTCAGCAAATGACGGCATACGTGGTTGGGGTCACTCAATATTTGATACGCTAATATGAGATCACTGCGCAGTCTTCGATAGCGCCCGCTGAAAATTCCCAGCAACTTCAGCCTTCGGTGGTAAGAGTGATGGCGCATACCCTTTACATTCTTTGTTGCGCTTCGTTGTGGTGCCTCTACCGCTTCTAGGTCGCGCTTCAACCAAGGTTGCCAAGCTTGGATGGCGTATTCAACATGCGGGCGCACGTAGGAATTGTGCATCATTGGGAAGATTGATGGGTCAAATCTCCCGAATGCTCTTCGCAGCATGCCGACATGCTGGTTGCCTCTTTTCGCAGCTACCTCAGCCTGTTTTGAACAGTTGAGGTCGCTCTGTACGATCACATCCAGGTCACGTTCCTGGGAGCTATTCTGCAGTCCGTTGGTCCCAAGTGAATAGGTGTAGTTATGACTATGGCGTAATTGTACGACGCGACATTTGTCTACATTGAACGGTAGGGCGTTTTGTACTGACCAGATCGACACGGTGTTAAGGTCGCACTGGAGCCGTTCATGGTCTTCTGGTCCTCTGATCCTTCGCCATATCTTGATATCATCAGCGAAAAATAAGAAATCGGAAGTAATTAATCTCGCCAAATCGTTAATGAACACCAAGAATAGACGAGGTCCAAGAACCGAGACTTGCGGTACTCCGCACGCCACATCGATTGCATCAGACAGTGATTCTCGGACTCTCACCACTAGCCGTCGTTCTTGTAGAAAATTGTCAATCCAACTCAGGATTGGGTCGCCAATGCCGTACTTCCGAAGCTTGTGAAGAAGAATGCGATGGTTTAAGCGATCAAATGCTTTCGAAAAGTCCAGGTAGATGACATCGACCCCTACTCCATCATCAACAGCCTCAGTCCAGCTATTACGTGCAATTAATAGGTTAGTATTACACGAATGCTTTTGACGAAAGTCATGTTGCTCTGGGGCTATTAAGTTGTGAGTTTTCCAGGTATTGCATCAACACATATGCGATGATTGATTCCATCACTTTGGATAGTACGGGAATTAGTGTTATTGGACGGTAGTTGGCAGGATCAGTGCGGCTACCTCCTTTATGAATAGGAGTAATGATCCCTTGCTTCCATACTGGTGGAATACGGTTCTCCTCTAGACATCGCTGATAGAAAACAGCCAGTGCTTTTGCTAGATCACTAGCTACCGACTGTAGAGCCTTTGGTCGGATGTTGTCAGCTCCGGGAGAACTGTGGATACGCAACGATTACAACTTCTTCAACACAGCTTCCGCAGTGATGGTGAGGTTTTCTAAACCAGATGGTGGAGTAGTAGAAATGAGGAGAATGTTTGTGCTCGTTACCTCCTGGAAAGTTCGGGAGTAATGAAGCCGTAGGAGATCAGTTGCTTCCACTGCTGATCGCGTGCACCCATCAGCCGTGACTAGTGCTGGAACCCCTCGCTTTACCTTTCGAAGGCCGTTAACGTGTCTGTACAGGAGTTTGCGATTCGTGCAGAATCGCTTCATTAACTTCTGCTGATGAGTGACCTTGTCTTCGCGGATCAGTTTCACACAGAAGTTACGATGGGTCACGTATGCAGTCCAGGTTTCGGCATTCGGGCAGTCCTGGTGATCTCGCCATGCCAAATCCCTCCGGGACATACATTAACGTGTCCTGCTCCTCAGAAATGAATTACGCTTGTTTTCAGGTTGGAAGGACTTCTGCTCTGATGCGTGCGCTACCAGTGTACTAAACGTCCTTGTAAATGTTTCCCAGGCAACATCTGGGAGGCATTCGGTTAAGAAGGTCCAAGATGTATCCTTAACAAGTTTAGACAACACATTGTAGTGGGTGACAGTATGCACTTTATCCTCCTCCTTTTCAAGATACTCCGCATAGCAAACATAGTCAAAAGAGTAGAGTAACATGATAACTACGACCCAGTGGTGTGCTTGTAACTATCCCGCTAACCATGAGTTCTTCGTTAGTGAGCACAAGATCCAGTATCGACGGCTTGTTAGCAGTTCGAAATCTGGTGGGAGAGGTTACGTGGTTGTAAAGTGGGTGGCTAGCAATAAGTTCTTGCAAGCAGGCTTTAAACTGCATACCGTCGGCTGCCGGCGTTTCTATGTCGTGTACGTAAAAGTCTCCCGCGATAAGAATGTGGGTGTAGGACTTGTTCAAAGCAAACTGGAAAACGTGGTTCAGTTTTGAGTCCATTTCCGAAGTTGAGTTTGGTGGGCGATAAATCACGGCTAGTAGACATGTGTCCTTGTTTCGCAACCATAGGCGAATCGGGAGCTCGGATTTCCGGGTGGTCGATAACTTCACATCGGAGGTTTGTGTTATAATAGAGAATCACACCGCCCCCCTTCCGATTCTATCGGTCCGAAGCAGTGACATACCGGGTAAATTGATCTCAGAATCGGTTATCTCAGGGTTTAACCATGTCTCTGTAATCATGACGAGGTCCCGCGGTTGTGAGGCATGGAGTTCTCTAAGTTCTGCCAACTTGCTTAGAAGGCCTTGGGCGTTTGTATACATGCAAGAGAGGGCTTTTGTTGTTAGGAGTTCATTGATAGATGCCAAGTTTGTGTTCGCTTTTAAGCCGGCCGTTAGGTGGCCGGCAATTAATCGTTTTTTGGTTTATGTATTTCAGTCGTGTTGCATAACATGATTAAGCGTTCCTGAACAGAAGTTTCACTGGTGCTGTGCTTCGTCCTCCTGTGTACCATGGGCGCAGTTGTGTTGGTCTCTCCGCAAGACTGTGCAGATAAGGAATTTGCTGCGTTTGCAAGTTCCGTTGAATTGCTTCCGACATTTGGCCGTTCGCCTGCTGCCTTTAGCCGGATCTCTGTTGGCAGCCTAGCTCGAAACTTTAACCAGCTATCCAACAGAACTTGCGTCATTCCCTCGGAGTGTAGTATTACTTTAACTAGCCTTGGACCGCAGCCCTTGTAGTTAGGTGATGACGAGACTCTTGTCAGGGATTTGGCAATAACGTTCTCAACAGAGAGTGCTTCGCGGATGTAGCACCACTGCTCTCGGTCATGAGTTTGTGCATCGTGATCAAAAGAATGGAGAAG